AAGGGCCGAGGTTACAAATTCTAAAAAGATGGTTACAAATAGTTACAAATTGAGTTTTATAAGTTACAATTTGTTTTGGACGATTTCATTGAAGTGGGGGGGCCAGCCCCCCATAGGGAAATCGATAACTACACGAAATTGAAGAGATTACAAATTTCAAAAAGTTGGTTACAAATTGAGTTTTATAAGTTACAATTTGTTTTGGACGATTTCGTTGAATTGGGGGGGCTGCGTGAAGTTAGCCCTTCATTGAGAAAGTACCCGTAGCTTGAAAAATATGAGGTTACAAATTCTAAAAACTTGGTTACAAATAGTTACAAATTAAGAAAATAAGGTTACAATTATTTTGGAAAGTATTTTTTATAGTGGGGGGGCTAACTTCACACACGTAGCTTGCCAATTTAATGATATTGTTATTCGTGGAGGATGATAGCAATTATTGTTTATACGTGTTCCGCGTTGACGGCGCGTCGTATAGTCAATTCAACGGCGTCTGTGTGGTTTTGGCTTTTAAGCGGTATCGTTTCTATGCATAATTGCCGTTTCAAACCCGAAAACGCGAAGTCAATTTTGTACACGCCACGGCGACGGACGAGACAATGCGAAAAAAAAATCATAAACTAGGCTCCAGGCAGGGTCATAGCAACTAATTATTGCGCCCGGGGCAAATCTTTAAAATGCATCCTTATGTATTTTAACTTATAAAAAATATAACTCACAAAAAAACTGAATATTTTTTTAAACGCAATATAAATAATGATTTTTCTTTATAATTATGTAAGCGTTTGTTAATTTTATTTAAATAAATAACTTGTTAAAATATAAATATACATTATAATTATAAGTAGGTACATAGGTACAATATAAATATATTTATAAGTTATATAAGTAAATACATGAATACATAAATACATCATATTACTTTTGCTTTTAAATAATAATAAATAATAATTAAATTTCAAATTTAACTTTTTGCGCCCTCCCAAGAATTGCGACCGGGGGCGTAGGCACCTCTAGCCCCTCCCCCTTTGCTACGGCCCTGGCTCCAAGTGCTTCCCTCGCTCGATGACTGTTCGCTTATTTTAAAAATCGCTGTTGCTCGAGTCGGCGACAATAATACCGACGGTTTTATAAATTCCGCGAACTTCGCGAATAATCATGTACCGATGATGACGAATTATTTGGTGCGTTCGTCTCGATTTTGCGCGGGAGTCAATTTTTCCCACCCTCCTTAAACCGTTGCCAAGTTCCGCCTATGGATGTGATATTTACTGTATGTATATATATATATATCGGAAAGAATTTGGCTCTCGGAAACCATGCGATTGTGTTCAATTATTTCGTTCGGTTTTGTTATTTCTCTTTTCTTTTTTTCCAGACACTCCTCGACCTCGCGATAACGGGTTTTAACCATGATATTTTATTGTGCCGCGTTTCGATAGTACATTAATTTTTAATCTTTATTAAGAATATGATTTGATATCAAAAACATTTTATATATAGGCTTTTTTACAGTGATTTCATTAATTATGTTTTCGTAATTTATTTTCCTTACAATTATATTTTATATGTCTGTAATAGACAGGTGGTTAAATCTTAGTTGTATTGTAGTAGATTCTAGATATCTTTTTATTATTTTAGTTATCTAAAACTTCGTTAACACAAAACTGAAGAATAAGACATTGTAAGATATATTTGGTGAGCAACTAATGTATTTATATATTCATCATAAATTTTATTTTTATAATTTAAACATAATATTTTAAAAAAGCTCGTTTTTTTAAATTATAAACGGGATTTTTAAAGTTTTGTAATTCTGAAACAATTTAAAATTTATCGAGATAATTTTTATATTTATTGCATAATCGACGTCGGATCTTGGCAAGTCTTGGCAAAAAAGAAATTATTGTTGGATCTAAAAGTGAAAAATCTTGAGCAACATTTTTCATTAACTTTGACGTAGTCCTGTTAAGATATTGTCAATAACATTTTTAATCATTAATATAGATTTGTTTTCGCTCATGTTATAAAAAATTCATCCTTTCAAACCGCCGCCGATTGAAAATTGGTAGATTGTATGAAACTATCAATACCGAATGTTAGATAGAAATTTTATATGTGTTCTGCTGCTATAGCCGTCTAATAAAAACTTAGTAGAAAACAGTTTATACGGTACGTCAACTACGTGTTATATACAGAGTTATATGGCATTTAGCGTGTTAAATAACAAAAAATTGTGTGTTATTATTATTATTTTTTTTTATATAAACTTCAGAGCACTCATACACCAAAAGCGCCCGGAGAAAACATATTCACATGCACCTCCTCCTCCCCTAGATCCAGCACTGCGAATATAATATGTAGTATATCTTGTCCTTAGTTTTATATTCATTTGACGCGATCGACATTTATCCGATAAATGCTACCGTACGGGCTTCATATATCCCCGAAATAAACCGTTATATTTAAATATTTTTATTTTTCCGGACGGGATTTATCTGTCCGATTTTATTCGACGCGTTGACTGCGACCATTGCGTATGGTAATGCGTCGCGTGACTTGTCAAAGGATAGGCCGTCCGTGCACGTTGTACGACAACCGTTTTTTAGGCGGCGATAAGTTACTCGGAAAACGTCGTCAGTCAAACGGGCTTGCTTTTTGATTGAAACGTGCGCGGACGTCAGAAGAAAAGCGTCGTGTCATAGTTACACTCGGTCTACACCTATATTCGGTCTGCTTGGGAGTGGCTAACGTTTCTGCGTCCCATGGTAACCCGGTAACGCTCATACACAACATAGAATATTTTAATTTCAAAATGAAATTACAGATCACAACAATAATAGAAGATCGAGATAAGAGTTTTCAATGAAAAATCTTTTATTACCTAATACATAATATTATGATCACCGTTGGATGCCTTATTCTTAAGTATATGAAATTAATTATCGACGAAATTTTTTTTAACAGTTTTAATAATATATTAATATATACGTACATTTTATGTATACGTCATACACATGCTTATGCATACACATTCAAATCAAACACAGTAAAATTCTTTGAAACCATTACCAATCATATATTCGTGTATTATTTTGATAAATTCACTAATGTATTCAGCGCCTGATTTAGGTATTCTGAAGTTCTTGGGCAAAATAAAAATGTGATGTTTTATGCTGTTAAATTATTTATTTATTTTTTAATGTTATATTTTGCTTATTTTTATTTTATACGACGAAAGTTGTACTCTAAAAGAAAAACTGTTCATAAAAACCCAGATCCTTAAATAACAGATATCACAGGCTGTTGCCTATTGTGCCAAATGATATATATGATCCTAAGTATATTGAGGTGCGCAACCAGGATTTTTAAAAGGAGAATATTTTAATTTTATATTTTAATATAATTTATGGGAGGTCACACATCCTCTATAAAATTGTAACATAGATTTAATTAATTGAAACACGCTTATTACTTTCAATTATATAAATTTCAAACAAAATGCCCTGTTACGTTATGAATTATAATAATATCAAATATGAAATAGAAAATTTTTTTATATTAATAATTTGATTTCTGCTATTACATTGCTTTGTGATTTTCCATCGAGTCTCTGTAATACATTTACTTTGAACCCAAGGTTGATCGAGTTTCATCTTTTGTTGAAATTAAATTCTCACGTTTACGTATTATTCACTACTCAGTATAATGGATATTTTCGTGTTTTATTTTATATAGTATGTTAAAAATGTTTTGTGTTATGTACACACCAACGACATTGTTCATTGTAAATTTCGCTAATGAATTCTTAATTTATTAAATTTCAATGTAAAAAGCAATTACTGAATTGTTATTTCTATGAATATCATTAAATCAGCTATACCCAAGTCCCAAGTAGTTAATTGATAATTTCAATGAAATTGTATTGGTGTGTGAAAAAAAAAATGAAACTATCCTTTGAAAAACTTTGAGTAGCACCTGCGATAGTTTCGTAATGGTAATCACAACATAAAAAAAGACAAACGTTGTTTTCGAGTAGTTGTTTGACGTGTTTGGAATCATACTTAATTTAAACCGTTTTAGTCTTTCTTTTATTTATTAAATGTTTGTTTTTAATAATATATTAAAACGAATACGAACTACGTTTATGAGTGAAAGTTATACTAAATTCCGATTAATGTCATGGCCGTTGCGTGGCATACCCAATTTTCGACTCGGAGAAAATTAAAAAAAAAATTTAAATATTAAATTTTTTGTTTTAAGTTTTTACTCTTAAACTGACTATTAAAATAATATTTTATTTTCATGGTTACTCTAGAAATACTTTTTGAATGCCAACACTGGATACACAAAATGGAAGTAGCCATTGTATTTTGATTACTCTTCGAAGTGTACCCCGGTGTCTTTGTTATTGTATTTACTCTTCGCGTAATAGTCCTTTCATATCTTCTTCTTCTCCTTCGTTTTTCTCCCGACTATTTGAGGTCAACCACCCTTATCCTAAACCTCCATTCGTCTCAATTTTGTACATCCTTTACGCACACACCAACAGCTCTCATATCATTCTCAATCGTATCCGACCATCTCTATTTTGGTCTTCCTCTTTTTCGAATCCTTAAACGTTCATTTTCATAACCATTTTTACTGTTTTTGTTTCCTATCACCTCATCACATGCCCAAACCATCTTAGTCTATTTTTTCTCATCTTCTCTACTATCAACGTTATACCATACTACCTCTCATATACTCGTTCCTTATTCTATCTTTTCTTGTCTCTCCACTCATCCATCTAAGCATTCTCATGTCCGCAACACTCATACTCTTCTATTTTCCTGTCATCGACCCGACACTCTAAACCAGCGTTTCTCAACCGGGAGTCCGTGAAAATAAAGACGTAATGGTGGAAAAAGTGAAATTTGTTGTATTTGATATATTTCTTATGGTGATTTGTGAAATATTGTAAATAGGTTTTTCTTAATATATGATATAAGTGTGTATACGTAAATAAGAGTATAATTTAAAATATATCATAAATAAAAAATATCGTAAACGACGGCACGTGTGCACTGGATTTTATCTAATTTTATGTACCTAACTATGAACGGTTTGTATGATATTGAAATTGATACTAATCACCAGGGCTCATAACTTATAGCTCTAAAAAAGATTGTTATAAGCGCTTAAATATAAACTAAAAGTACTAAAATATGCAAAAAAAAAAAAAAACGTTTATATACAAAAATTATTATTTTATTATTATTATTTATTAAATTATTTTATTATTTTAGCTTCTATTAATAAAAAAAAAAAAAAATTTGGATACCGAATTCACGAAACGAACTCGCATGTATACAGTACGAAAAATCGGAAACGACTGCAAAATGTTAATAAAAAATAATCTGTAAATAATCTGAGAATGATAATATTGGAATATCTAGATAATGATATCGAAATACCCGAATACCTAGAAACTATAAAAATAAAATACTATAGAACAAGCTACAATTATATACAATTCTAATGGTTTTCTTATCGATGGGATTACGAAGTTTCGGGCGTACACTCTCGCTACGTCGCGCGTCCCCTAAACTCGTATAAGTATATATAGTTTATCTGATATTATATAAGTTATATAAGAAGAAAAATTAATTAACACGAATTAATTACTAATATGAACAATTAATATGACTATAATTACTTATTATTTTTAAGAAAAATGTTTTAGGCTACTAATTTTTTTTTTAAAAAAATCAATGATAAAAATCATGCAAAAATCCAAAAATAAGCAAAAAAAAGCAAAATAGCATTTATACTCCGAAATATGCAAAAATATGCAAGATAAAATTTCATATGGTTATCTGAAACATAGGTACCTCTAGGACCTCTCAAAAAAAAAAAAAAAATACAAATGCTAGAAGTTATGAGCCCTGTTAATAACTAATAACAACAATTAACTAATAACATGAATGGCTTCAAAAACTGTCGTGAATGTATGTCATGAAAATATCCTGAGCTTTCCCACAAAGCATTTAATATTTTATTATCGTTCACGACCACTGTATTGGTGGAGAGGTCCTTTTCGTCTATACGTTCATTAAAAATAAGTACCGTAATAGACTATCTGTGAGTTCAGACTTACAGATTTACCTATCAATTGTGGAGTAAGATTTCAAAAAATTAAGTGCTAGCAAACAAGCCCAAGGATTGCATTAAAACTAAATTTTTAACTTAATATACTTAATAACTTAATATGCGAAACTATGGGTCAGGCCAGTCAGGTCATGGCCTGACTTAATACTAACGAAAAATATGTATATATTATATATTTTAATAATTATTTAAGTATTATAAATAATATATTTATACATGTAAACGTATACATTTGTACGTTTCATATAATACTATAATATAATATAGTATATAGGTACATTTGGTACAAATAAAGATTATAATAGAACATAATAAGTCTATTCTATGTATTCAAATAACCGGTTTTATTAGTTATTGTTTAATTTAGACATTTATCGTTTATTTTTATAATTATATTATAGGAAATAATAGTTAATTTTAGGTAATAATATTTTTTATATTTTTCCTTTGGCCTGACCTAATAAAAGTGTCTAGTTTTGCCTATGTATATTTAGATATATTGGTACATGCCGATTAAAATAGACATTTCCAAATTTTTCGTTTTACTTATTTCGTTAATTTGTATTTATCTTATGTGGAGATATATGACTAAATTGACATTTGGGGTCCGTAAAATAGTGGTTAGAGGTCAAGGGGTACGTAAATAAAAGAAGGTTGAGAAACGCTGCTCTAAACCATTTAGCATAGTTGGTCTACTACACTCCTGTAAAATTAACCTTTCAGCTTCATTGGAATGCTCTTATCACATGAAATGTCCAACAATTTTCTCTCTATTTCATCCAACCGCACTTAACATCTATTATAGTCTTATTACATAAATTATGTATAATATCCTGTTGTAGTCTGTTTTATCGAGCGACATGTTGTTTCAAACGCGAGTTTAAGGAGCTGTTAGGAAATAGTTAAATACATTTTATTTTATTTCTGTCTTTCGGTTATCCATCGATGTTATAAACTCGGGCGTGGAATTATTATTCCAGAAAACTCTTAATTTGGAACAACAGCTCACATATATTGTCATCGCAATTATTCAAAAAATACATTAAAATCATAAATCCACATTTAACCGAAAAAACAATAAAATTTCAAGGGAAACTGTAATCCGTTGTCAATGTAGAACTTATTGCAACGGTTCGCATATAATACACGAACCAAGCATACTAATTCAAATTTATATTATGCATTTTGCATTATATATAAAATGCATAAATTAATCGCAGTAATACCGTATTCATCTGTTCGGCGGTTGTAGCGGTATAATAGCTCTTTGATATTTTCATTTTCAAATATCTGCGGCGTGTAATAAAGTACACCAAACGTCAAATTTTATTAGAAATAAATTTGAAAGTTTTCTCTTTTGAAATACGTATTTGGTATCACCAATAAGCAATATATAATACACATTTACCCATATAAGTATGGGTGTGTGTGTGTGTTATTAAAATTGCGTGTTCCGAATGCAAAATAAATTTGAAACTCTTTTTCTTTGGAAAGAAACAATTAGAGAAGTGTTTTTAAGACATAAGTGATACGTGTTGCATCCGGATTATGTTAGAAGTAGGTACGGAATTATATTTATTTCCATTTTAATCAGCAAAATACCTACGTTTTATATCCAAACGGATTCTGATGGTGGGGTGTACAAGACATTACTTTATTTCATTTCATCATATCACTCGTATAAGTTAAGTTTTGTAGTTCTCTGTGACAGTTATTGTGTATGTTACGAGGATAATTATTTTTATACGTCCATAAAGGACACGTTGGTTGTTGCTCTAAGGGGTAAAAATTACTATTAGCTGAAATAGAGTGAGTGAGATAGAACATTTTATACACTTAAGTACTCTCACGATAGACACTCTAAACTTACTGTACAGTCTACATTTTGCACTACATTAAATGAAATATAATTATCAACAAATTAATTATTTCAAATAACAACAGATAAATTTTTTCTCAATAAGTTTATTATTTTTTAATGTATGTTGTGTATTTGGATGAAAATATAGCTAATAAATATTTTTGAACAATAATTAGAATCGAGTTGATTTGAAATTTTCCATATTTTATTTTAATTTATCAATACTTAATGATTGAAACTGAATCCTAACTTATACACTTTAACGAGGACTCTTATTTATATGTTAAACGTTTGAATTAATCATTTATCAAGGATATTTTACTAAAATATTAAATGTTGATGGCTATTATGGTTAGGTTTGGTAGTTTATCACATATTACTATACGCTTTTATTTTGTTTTTCTAAATAAATATATATATTTAATTAATTTTAAGTACTGAAATTATGGAAGATTATAAATTTAATTTGACACATGTTAAATTACAGACATTTTAATATTATGCAATCTCTTTCTCTTCCCAATATACAAGTGGGAAACGTCTTAGATAGGAAACGTGAATATTGCGTTGACCTAATCACCTAGTGATCCTAGTATTATAATGATCAAAACGCGATTATTTCTATATGTCATAATATTAATTGAACCGATACATTCGAAAATCTCTCTTGACCACGAGAAATTATTTTAATATCCATGACGCGTTTTCGTTCTCGACAAAAGTGCCCCAAAATGATTCCAATACCATTTTCGTAACCTCTTTATCATAACGCACCTCACCTACTCCACACGAGACTCATCCCCGACCGGAAAATTTTACTGCGGGGGAAAATTATTCGTCGGAGTTCCCGTCGTGATCGTACGTACACTCATTTATATACGTGTGGTCATTAAAAGTCGAACGTTGAGTAGTCTGATGATTATTACGATGCGTGTTCCCGTTGGGTTTTCCTGTCACATTAACGTCCGCTCGTTACCAGGTTATTGAAGTTAGGTAAGCGTTCTATTTGACGCTTTATCCTGGATCCGGCAAAAGCGAAACGTTGACTTTTAAGACGTCAAACGTCTAGCTGTCGGGTACGTTATAAAAATATATTGCTTGGGCATTCAACGACGGATTGCAGTGGCGTGCCTTGAACATTTTAAATGTGGCGGTGGACTTATAAATAAAATAGGTAATTTGTATTAGTGAATATGAAATATAAACAGAGAGACTTTAAGAGTCATTCCCATGGGCGCCGACTACTGAGGTGCCGTGGTGCTCAAGCATCCCATGACCTATTCCATGGGGTGCGGAGCACCCCACGAAATAAAAAAACAACAATATGAAATTACGTAATATTATTTCCACGGTCACACGATATAAAATAAAGTATTTTTGGAGATTTTAATATTAACCTATTACGTGTGGCCGCGTGGGCTAAAAATACATATCGATATTGCTTGAAATTCCCCTATTAGTATCCGAAAAATGCGTATCTAATGGACTGAACCGATGTTATCTATTTTCTAAGATTTCGTGATTCAGTATTTCTATAATAGTCGTAACTGATAATTTGTATCAATTAACCGTCGACCATTCGATATCGAAACATTTTGCAGTGATTATAATTTATAATAGCATAGTTTTGTGTATTCTTAACATTTAAAATGGATAAGTGGTTAATAAAAAAATCGATTAAAACCACAGATCACTCTACTGACGCGAATAACAGTTCTAACTCTTTGAATGTTGAATCGAAAAGTGAAATTTCTCAAAAAAAAAAGGGTGTTTCAAGAAAAATGGTTACAATTATATCCGTGGTTATTATATGATCGCGTGAAAGAAAAATAATTTTGTTCAACATGTTCAAGTGCTGTTGAAAATAAAGTTGATCTTCCTGCATCTTCTGTGCCTGATCAAAATTTTAAAAACGCATTTGTAGTTGAAGGATTTTCTGCGTGGAATAAAGCTTTGGAACGATTCAAATTCCATGAAGGTAAATATTTAAATAACATTATTTAGCTATTCCAGAGTAGGAATCGATTTTTATCAATTTTTGTCTTAATTTATCTTTGTAGTCAGTTATTTTTTTTGTTTACACTTTTCTGCCTCACAAAAATATTTTAAATACACAATTGTAATAGATAATCGTAGATATGATATTTTAAATTATTATATAAATAAATATTAAGATAAAATTAGCCCAAGTTGGGTTAATTGCAGAGTTGGGTCCCCAACTGCAGTATACTGCACAAATTCATAATACAAAATATTTATCGCATTATAACAATTCGAATGTATGTATTTTTTGGTAGTAATTTTCATCGTGCTTCAGTTTTATCTACGGCAACACAAAAAAAAGGATTTAACATATGTGCATCTATGAGTATTTCTAAAACTAAAGAAATGAATGACGCCCGGTCCACTCTTTTAAAAATTATTTCATCTCTTTATTTGACGAGGCAAGGTTTACCAGTGCGTGGTCATGGTGACATAAACTCAAATATTCAACAATTACTCATTTTACGTTCTGATGATGTTCCGGAATTAAAAAGTTGGTTGTTAAGAACTAAATATAAATGGTTATCTCATGATATTCAAAATGAAATACTATCTCTTTTATCCGACGAAGTTCAATTAAATATTGTTTCTGAAATAAAAAATGCATTCTGTTATTCGATAATATTAGATGAAACAAGAGATATTTCAAATATAGAACAAGTTTCTGTGTGTATTCGCATAGTAGACAAACATTTAAATATAGCAGATCATTTTTTAGGATTTTTCGAAACTCCTTTTACTGACGCTGAAACATTATTTAATTTGGTAATGAACACTTTAAATAGATTTGACATAAATATATCTAAATGCCGCGGATAATGTTATGATGGAGCAGCTAATGTCAGTCGACATATTAGTGGTTTACAAAAACGAATAATCGATGTTGGATCTAGAGCAACTTTTGTTCATTGTACAGCCCATACATTAAATCTTGTAGTGCAAGATGCAATGCAGAATATTGATAAAATTCGAGACTTTTTATCTACTTTACTACTTTACTTTACTCTTACTTTATCTACTTGATAGCATTCGTAAAAGATTCACCAAAAAGACAGGCCATATTTAACTCTTTTTAAGCTGAATAAAGTACAAACGGTCTTTCAAAATACTGTTTCATTGTGACCTTTTTGTCCCACAAGATGGTGTGTTAGAATTGTTTCATTAAAGACTATTAATTCAAATTATAATATACTTCACACATTCCTTAATCAACTAGCCACGGAAAAAAATGAAATAGGTGCTAAGGCTAGTGATTTTTCGAAACAACTTTATAAATTTTATTTTTATTTTTTGATACATATGTGATATTTATTTTCAAGAGAATAAACATTTTGAATTCGGAACTTCAAAAAAAGTCATTGCATTTCCAAGATGCAATATTAAAAATACAAGCTATCATAATTTCTATAGAAGAAAAACGAAAATCTGGGTTTGACCAACTGTGAGAAAATATTAATAATAGATCAAAAGAGTTAGGTTTAGGTAAAATGAAGCTCCCTAAACAAAGAAAAATTCCTAAACGTTTAATTGAAGGGAAACAGGGACATTATTTTAAGTCAGCTTAAGATCATTATAGGGCACTATTTTTTGAAGTGATTGACACCACACTACCTACTCTGTATACTAGATTTCAAAACAACGTTATTGAACATCTTGCAAATGTTGAACAATTTATTGTTAACCCCAAAAAAATGAATACATCAATTATAACTGACTATTATGGCTCAGACTTTGATGAGACAAAGTTAGAGTTACATCGTAATATTATGTTGGATATCGCAAAGTCGAAAGGATTTAATGTATCATCAGTATCAGATGTCATCGATTTTTTTAAAGAAGAATTTTATTTACAAGATTTGGTACCGGAATTGGTAAAATTAATTAAAATTATATTAACCGTACTAGTTTCTTCGTGTACAGCAGAACGTTCTTTTTCTGCTCTTCGGCGTTTAAAAACATTTCTACGATCAACAAAGGCTCAAACACGACTTAACGATATAGCGGTATTACATGTACATAAGGAAGAACAAATAAACATTGATGATGTTGCCAATAAGTTTATTAATAAGACCAAAGTAAGGAAAAATACATTTGCAATTTGTTGAACATGTAGAAATATAAACCTACTGTATAACTTTTTATTTTAACATTTTAAAATCTGTATACAGACAGACGCACAGAATGTTATTTTTATTTATTTAAAAATTAAATTAATTTTTACCTATATAAGTTAAAATGCACTTAAATTATTAACCAAAAGAAAAAATAAATGTTTTGATGAAAATATTTTAGTTTTATTTTGCTTGCGAGCCTTCATTATTTTAAGAAATAAGGCGAAAACATATTTATAATTTTTCCAACTTTTACCTTCGGGCATATATTTTGAGGATAAGAAAAAAAAATAACCTTATGGTTAACCATTATTTATTTATTTATTATATATTATTTATATATTATTACTATTTATTTGTCAAAAAAAAATTTAACCTGGTACCTACAACTTTGGATTTTGAGCACCTCATGGAACTTGGAAAACCCGGCGCCCATGGTCAGGCCCTTTAAATTGTTTATAGGTAATAATTTTACATAGAAATTTAGTGTTTTTTTTTTAAAGGTTCTTAACATTAAGTTCTTTAAAAAAAAAAGAAAAGATGACAATGGTGTAAAGGGTGTATATAGTCTGACTTCTTCCTCTCGACGGCGCGTCATTGTCGGATTGTTAAAAATTTATGTACTTGTAGTTGGAATAAGTCGAATAACCATTTGTTTCGTGTGTGTGCGAACTGGTTACAACTTATACTTTGACAGTGCTGTGCGCGCGCGTATGTTTGAAAAATACGTACTTCTCAACGGTCTCAACGGTATGCAAACGGACACGTATAAATAATGTGTCATTCAATGTCTACGTACTGGATAATGGCTCGGGCCCGCCGAATCGTATTACCTCTTCCCGTATAAAAAAGGTTTTACTCTTACGTTCGCACCATTAGCCGCACGAGCTAGGTCGGAGTTGGTCTTAGTTTTCGCCCGTGATACCTCCGATCGAGAAATACTACAGTTGCGGTGTTTCCTTTTATAATATCACCCCCAAGGCGTTGGCCTGTCAACACTTCAAACATGCGGTCGCCCTTTGTGTCTACGATCTGATATACAGTTTGTTTTTTATATTTTGTGATTTTATTTATCTCGCGTCCAGGAAGGGTTTTTTTTACCCATCGTTACACACGAACTAAGTCCATGAGAAAGTGCTGGGCTAAAGGTTGTATGCGAAGTAGCGTTGGACATATTTACCAAAAAATTGTCCACAATAAAGGTCTTGATCAACTAAACTGCATACCGAATGATTTCGGGTGTAATTATTTTGATTCCGATTGTAGCGAAAAACATCAATTTGATTTGAAAAATAAAAGGGACGTATTAATACAATTTAAATTTGAAATTGATTTCTTTCAATTAGAATACATCCCTTCAAGTAGCGTTAATAACTGATATTATTGTTATACTATATTAGATATTGCTATGATTACTTGAATTGTTAGCTATGTAATATTTGAAAATATTGAACTCATGTCACCGGACTTCAGGCTATATTATATTATTAATATCCATATATAAATCACAGTATTAAAAAAAAGTTATCTTTTCTGTACGCGGTTTGTTGGATTGACAATCGAAAATTAGTATATAAATATAACTAGAAGTTTTAGGCATCAAACGTTTGATGGTAATTTTTACGTTTTTTTTTCCTCTCCGATACTCTATATCAAATGATATTTGACAGCGAGTAGAAAGTCAGGAAAATTACTGCTAATATGATAATATAATATATGTATATCCAGTGGTATTTATTTCCTTTATTAATCGAGTGCGATAAATTTATATTTATTAAATTGTTTTTTTGTGTCACTCTTTTTATTATTATTAAAAAAATAAATATAAATTAACATATAGAATCAATTTCGTTTTGTATGCCACTGCGGGAAAAGGACGCGTATTATAGTTGCTCGTTTTGACAGTTGTGTGATTTATTATTGTTTTATGCGCGACGTGCGAATATATACTGTTGAGATAATCAATTTCGAATATCATAAAAAAAGTAATAATAATAACAGTATGTATAATAAAACATACAAGTCCGATTTAATTAAATATAATATATCGTATAGTAGAAAAAGTTGTCAATTCGTCGACTACCGCTCATCACGACTTTTGGTTTTCTAACAGCTATCATAGGGCACTGAAGTTATGTATCTTGAGGTTTTTTCAAACTATAGTGTAGTTTTTTCTTTTAAGCATTTTCAACAGTTTAAGGTAAAATTGTAATATTTATTCACCTAATTATTATGAAATCTTATCAGACATGTCCGTCGGACTGAATAAAAATTCACTGTACATATTCACGACAAAATATGCAAGTATAACTATTAATAAATATTTCACTCAGATATGAATTTCTACTAATGGCGTTTCACGGTGGATTTTAACGCTAATTGTTCGTTTTAGACCAATTTTTAGGACGAAAATCAATATGAGTTATTTGATCAATAATAAATAGTCTAAATACAACTCAAAATTAGTTATCGTTAGTAGAACAATATTTTATTGGTCTTTGAAAGTATATTTGATGCGTCACTGAGTGCGTCGTTGATTTACCAAATTTACCACAGTAAAATCCAACAAATATTGAATAAATCAGAAAAAATAATATAATTTTAAATCGAAAGCAATGCATGCGAGTTCAATCGACACGCCTACATAACATATTATAGCTTAACATATTTGTCTATTTGTTTGAACTAGTTATAAATTTCCCCCCGTAATACATTTCGTTTCAAGAAGGTATGCGCAGTTGGTATTTTTGAAAACTTAATTTAAAATTATAATCGAGCAAATAATTAAATATGGATCAGATAACATCAAACATCAGTAAGTTGAATTGCCGTGGGGACTTTAACTTCTTATAACCTTTATGAAAGTTCAACGTTTACCGATTTACATGCAACAAATATATATGTATAACTAGTTTTATTCTATATTAAAAAATTTGTTAAATCTTACTTTTATATGTTACATTTTGTAACAGTTTTTAAATTAACTTTTTTTCATGATTAACGGTTGGCACATTTTTTCATCTCTCAAGAGAAACATTTTAAGCTATTTCAAAATTGTACACATAGTCTCGAAGTTATTAGTCATATACTATAATTTGTAGGATTAATTTCAGGTAGTTAAGTGCAGAAAACTAAATTACAAACTAAATGAGAAAAGTGACTGCTCGGACAAGAATTCAATTTGTAGAACTGCAGAAGTGTAGAAACGTACAATAGATATGACGGTTGTACCGATTTTTACGAATTGATTGAGACATTTTACAAAGAGCTATATGTGTTAAAATTATTACGATGAAAAATCAGGGAAAATTAGGAAAATTCATTTTGATTTACGAATATGTTCACAGAGATCACAATTATGAAAAGCATTTCTATAGCTTCGATAAGACTTGTTGATTGTTTATATATATTTATGTCTTCTGCCCGTGTGTATGTTACTTAATTCCTCCTAAACAGCTGGACTGATTTTTATGAAATGCTGTGTGCGCGCTTCAGTGTTGATTCGGTATAGACCTGCCTACATATTTATTTCGGGGGGAGGGGATTAAATACTTTTACGACCACGCATTTAAAATGTATTTATTTCACAAGATAATAATTATGGTAATTAATGACTGTATAATAGTAGATATATGTCGATGGATTGTATAAATAACTTTGGCAATTTTTTATGATATTAAACTTAAACTGTATAAAAATATCAAGAATATTAAGAATTGTTGTCTAAATTCGTTAAAACTAAAGGGGAAATTTAAATCATTGCTTGGAACGTTCACTTAAAAATCGATCTCGTTCACGTTCACGTTCAGTGCATAAAAAAGAAACTCATGAACGTTCAAGTTCTACGAAAAAACGAACGCGTTCGTTTGGCCGTACATTTAAACTTTTTGATTTTAAATTTATAATAACAAAATTATTTAAAAAGAAAAAATAGAATCACCAATCTGAATTCTATATAAGCGGCACCTTCACAAAATATACTAAGTATATTTCCAAACATTGATTTGAACACCCAATTCCGGTCCCCTAACCTAGACACACTCCTGTATACGTATACGTGTACACTAAAAACACGAATGAAATATTAGAAATATCGATAACAGATATGTGCCGTCAACCGTGTTGATCCGCGGAGAGTTTATCAACGTGCAGATTCGAGCTCACCCACTCCGCTGCGACCGTAACGAGAGTAGTGCGATCAGTAGTGTTTTTAAATTTTTTAACAATGCGGCACACTTCATCTCCAACAAAATGTTCGCGTCACACCAGTTCATATATTATGTGAACCATATTTTATATATACGTATATGTACACTGTTTACAGTGTAATCTATTAGAGGGTTATTTATTGTGAAATTTATTAATACGATCGATCGATCGAGACGGCTGCGACGGCGTACTCACAATAAATAATATTATATGTATCTACGATAAGTTCGATCAGTTTTCATCGTATATCGGTAATAAGCTGGTTATATACTTATAAAACAATTTATAGATTTATCGTCGCGGCACACCGGTTGGAAACCGCAGGACGACTATACGTACAGGGCGTAGAGACGGGCCATGCGACCGTCGGTCCGTCGACGGTCCGGGGACGATTAAATATCTGTCGCCGAGGAACAAGTCACGAGATTTAAATCGGATTCTACCGATTTATTCGCGCACAGCAATTATAACGATACCCACCGCTAACGGGGCTGCGCACGTCTCTCTAAACAATACATAATGTATACTCTCTCCAGCTGTAACAGCGGAAGTAGCGTGGTTGAGTGCCGCGCGGTGACGTGCAGCCGATCGGCCATCACTGGTCGCGCGAGATAAAAAAAACGCGTGTGCGAAAAAATTAAAACGCATTACGTAGATTCTACGATCGTGTTTTTTTCCTTTTTTAACGTTCAGCGGAATACATTTCGTCATCCGTCCGGTGATGCTTCGCGCGCGAGGCTATTTTTTCACCCCGCGTTGATTCGATTACGCGCTGCCGATTTTCTTTCTCGCCTGCTCGGTGACGTACCGCGTACAACGCGTGGCCAAATCGCCATGCGTACCGGGCGAATGTCTTTACCGGCCGGTATCGCTTTTATCCGAAATCGCAATACGTTTTTCGTCGGTAATCCTCTGACGGGTTTTCGATCGTTTTCCCACTGTCTAATTCTATTTTCATGTTTTTCGTTAAAAATTATGTTTTCAAATTTTTGAAAAGAAAAACAAAATATTTAACAACCGTTTTTTTACGCTTGTTTTTCCAAAGAACCTGTTGTAGTTATATTTTAATTGGATTTCTGTAGTTTTTCATTGAAAATCCTAATTATAATGGTCTATAATGGTCGTACGGGGGTTAAAATCGTCTCGAAGCTGTAATATTATTATTATTCATAACAATATATTCAACGATATTTTACATCTGTTTGAAAATGTTATCGCGGTGGATCATCCTCGATCGGTTGATTTTTGTAAAGTGGACTAGCCAAATCGTTCGATCAATCGAATTTGGCTGCCATTTTCACAGGTTTTTCGTTTTTGACGACGGTGAATAGTATTTTTGACATGACGAAAAAAACCATAAAAGCATTATTTTTCACTCCAATCGTGCGAGTTCAACGAACACACGTTAAATCAACGGAATCGAATTGATGGAAAAATTAAAAAAACGACTTTTAATAAATGTGCTAATGGACGCGTCACCACTGTGGTACGGAGTATAATTGACGGTATTATCTCGTTCTGTTCGTTTCGACAATCGAGACTCGTCATCAGTTAACCGAAAACCCGGTAAACGACGATATAACATTATACAATACGGATTATAGATATTGTACGGCACGATACCCGAGGTTATGTCCAGCACGGAATCGCTCACCGATTGCTAGAAAGAACGAACGTAGTAGGGTAGATTTCTTTTTTCCTCTTTTGCGCCACGTTGAAATTACCATTTGTTTATCTCGAAAACCATAACATAGACACGCGCTTGTGCACATCGATGCGGTTCATATATATATACATGAAATTCGTAGCGAACAGATTGAATTGGATGCAGTTAAATTGAACTGTCATGTTCTTTTCCATGATCCTGCAGTCCAGTGCGTGTGCGCGCGTGCGCTCGGGCGAGAGAGAAAAAACTTTTAATTTAAAAAATTCGTGTAAATCCGGCACACACACACACATACACACATAGACACCGGTCGTTTTTTTTCCATCCCCCTATTAACCCGTTGTTGTTGTCGTACGTTTCCAGCCCGAGGGGATTGCAATAACGCTGGCGGTACGATATTATAGTCGTGTACGCTGAGGTTCGGCAGATATTCCAACAAACGGGGCTTATCCGCCCCCCGGAGACGAAGGGACAGTTAGCTTTGCTATTATGCCGGAATGAGATGATGTAGATGGTCATGTCTGCAAGTGGAAATCAGTGTTAGGTGGTTGGCAAGTAGGTAGGTATCGGGTTCGGTCAAAAAAGCTGCGCAGGACAAAATATTAACGAAATTTCATCGACTGCTGATTATTCTCGTATTTTTTTTTTTTTTTTTGCTTGTGAACACCGTACGATGTTCGTAATAAAATAGGTATATACGTAAACTAATAGTAAATAAAGGGAAAAGGTATTTTTCGTATTCAATAATGATACAGGCTATTTGAATAATTTGTAACCACTTTTATTTGGCCCTTTAGATTTTTTTTATACATCAATTTGTTATACCGAAAAAAAAATAATAATAATAGTATATTTACTAACATTATAATATTTAAAATTAATAAAATGAACAATTATTTATTTAATAAAAAATAAAGCTATACACGTTATAAGATAGTTGTGTACTTTTTATTTTTTTATTATTTATATATAATAACATTTATTTTTCTTTCAATATAGGCAATAACGAACATTCAAAAATAATTATCGTACAGAGCGAGTCGAATGTTTCCAAATATATAGATAAACATACATATTTATATTTATATATATATATATATATATAAAAAAATAATAAATAAATAACAAACGATATTATTAAAAGTTATAATCACTGTACCGGTCCAATATCGTTTCAGACGATCAAAGCTCACAGCGTGCGACTCGCTCGGTAAAATAAAAATAAAAACTTATAAGCTGCGGGTGACGTAGAAAAGTGAACTGGGCCAATGTTATTGAGTCCCGATCACTTTTTATCACATGGAGCACGTACAATTCATACACATACTATACATAATACGATATTATATAAAGCATACTCTTTTCGTATTATTATTACACACGTACAATGCGCGTATACGTATACAATAATATTTCACGTAAAAAGTTACAATTATGTCTAGGAAAAAAAAAGGAATAAAATAAAAACCCATAGACCTGCACGAATTCATAGAGAACATTTTGTACACGATCTGCACTAAAATTATGATCGTAGTAGTATGTAGTACAGTAGTACAGTAAATATCAAAAAGATAATTTAGTAAGCAGGCGTGTGTGGTATATGTGAGTGTTGGTAGAATTGAGTAAACGACACGGACATGGATTTTAGACAATAATAATAATAATAATAATAATAATAAAAAAAAATTTACAATTTACGATATTTACAGTTGGAAAAATAAAAATAAATTATCAATACAACCGCCGCGGATATACAATATAATTATTCCTAATAGATGTACGCGTATTCACGTACGGTACGCATAATTATAAATATAGAAACTAACGCGAACGAGTCTCTGCACCATCAATTAAAAACAAATGTACAAGTATTATAATAATAGCTATAACGTAACATAATAGAGATAGAGATAGATAGCGAAATTTAAAGAAAAAATAAACATAAAGAAGTCATGGCGGGAATAAAAGATGGCCTTTTTCGAGGTAACGACGAAATAATAAAATTAATTATAAGATCACAATATAGTCGGTTTCAATAATAATAATAATAATAATAATAATAATAATAAATAAATAAACAAAAGCGATCCCTAACACCTGTATAATGATAATAATTATACACTGGGGTATACAATTTGGGGGGGGGGGAGAGGGACCGCTCGGTAAATTATTTTTTCTTCGGCAACGTGGTCGTTGTCATCGTCATATTTTGGCGTGAGCCTCCTCCAAACGGTCGGTCGACGTGACTGTGAACGACGACGATCACCGACGATTGACTACGGCGACCAGTAAGGCGGCCAACAGGACTAGGAGTGGTATGCTGGTTAAGGTCACGCTGCTCGATTCCGAACTGCACAGACCTGAAATGAACGGGAAAACAAATTTTTATCACAGGACGCGGCAATACTACATTGAATGTAGCAACGAATATCAATTAAAAACAATTCCGGTCGATCGGAAGTTCTGTTCAAATGGACGTACATACATACACACACGAATATCGTGTTCACTTAAATCACGAACATATCCGACAAACGTCATCGCCCGTCCTTCAATGTTTGCTGCAGCGAGCATTGCGGATTGTTTATTCCTCTGAATCCAACACGCGTCGGCGAGCGCGGTTTTATTTAATTTTCCCTTACAATTTCAACTCCCTCTAACCACCACCACCCACGCAACGTTTTGTGTACATTTCCGATACGATAATTTATTCACATGGCGTTCGCGTTCGACAATATCATTACCATTCTTGTGACCTAGGTCGTTTTTCATTTTATTTGTTCTGTCATTAACATCGAATGCGTATTGCCCACGCCGTCACAATCAACACATCAAATCGGTCTTGGTAAACACACGCGTGTCTACCCGTACTTTCTCTTACACTAACTCCGCAGCTCACGTTATAACAACACATATGTGTCGGTTGCGAAAATAAACTCGCCACTTATACTCCACGGAGGACTATGCGTACAATAATATAGTATAATGCCGCGTACCCTTCCGCCAAAAAAGGTGTACGAAAGTTTCACGGATCTAAAAGATTAGCATATTTAGCTTGCTAAGAGGGAGAATAAACGTTATGATAATAATAATATTTTAGGCAATATTTTACCTTGGTGCGTTATGTTGAAGGCCCAGTGCAACCGGCCCAACGGGTGCGGATGGCACGACTCCATGACCGAGGCGATGTGTAGCGTTTGCTGGGCCATTCCGTTCACCTGCGACATGATGAAACAATATCGTCTGGAATTGGGCGCTGACCGTCCCTGCGGCGTGGATATCACGTAGTTCACGTCGGTGACTTCGTTCTTCCAGTGTCCGTAACAAGTGTACGCTGCGAAGAAAAATTATAAAAATAATTAAATATGTAGCGTAAGTTTAAACGTATACAAACATCGTTTCGCATAACACTACGGTGCTAAGTGCGAACAATCGGATTCAAGTCGAACGTGTGGGTAAAAAACCAGCAGGCACAGTGGTGGGTATAGTTACGAAGAATGTGTTTTTTTTTAAACGTCGACCTATACATAAAACATAACCTGACCTAAACGGCGAGTCTACGGGATTTTATTTACTGTTATTATTAATTACGTTTTACACATAGTTTCAAATATTATTTACGCAAGCTTTCCGATATTTTCCTGCTTCATTTTCAAATGTTATTACATATAGTTATCCAGACCGCGTGTACACGCACAAACTGATATAATTGGTGAATTAGATCCTACGACGCGTAAAAATTGAACGCGGCGTTTCGTCAGACGGTGGTGAGTAGAAGGGGCTGGCGTGTGCGAGAGAAACGTGGTGCGCATAAAGTATATACAGGGTCGATTTGGCTTACCGGCGACTGTCTTGGTGCCGCACTCGGACTGGAACTCCATGGTGTCGGGCGAATTACATCCGACCGTCAGGTACTGTTTGCCGGGCGGGTTGCATGGCGTCGGTTTGTCCGGATTGTTCTCGCTGCCGGGACGACTGGCGGCTAGCGCTTTGCCCACGTCTTCGGCGTTCAGGCCGCCGCTGATCTCGTATCGGCCCGCGAACGGACAATCACGACCTTTTGGCGAAGGAGCTGCAGTAAAAAAAAAAAAAAAAAAACGATCCACGATTATATAAGGTTATTCTCTTTGATTTTTCTTTATCGTTTTCCCCCATCGGAGTTCAGCGTCTTATAAAAGGGGTCTCGTTAAGTCGCGCGCGAATGATGATTTTATGGGGTCGGAACGTGACGGCGGCGATACGGTTTTATCGTATTATACGCGGTACAGAGTTTTCTTATACTGCACTACGTCAACTGTGTGTGTGTGTGTGTGTGTGTGTTTGTGTGTGTATGTGTGAAAGAGATATAGATAGTTCAGACAATAAACACGGTACCTAAATATATATACACAGGAATAGAGGACGAGTAGAAACTTTTGCGACCAAGCGTAATGTCCCGGAATGGCGGAAACTTTGGAACAGACTGCGTGCATTATTGCGCACGCCAACGATATAATCCATTGGACTGTTTGTGGCCGACACACTAAGTGGAGATAGATAATAATATTATTATTGAAAAGTTTTAATGAGACCACCACCACGGTTTTTATTGTTTGTGCTGTTTCGACGACCTATGATAATAGCCGCAACCATCGTTCTCCCATTCCCGTCACTCTTATAAATTATTTATAATATGCTGATACGTTTATGTAATAATAATATGTGTATAAGTATATCATGTTTGAATCAGGCGTTGTTCATAACCGTACACTTTGATATATATATCAATATCGTATACATTTATTTAAAATAACATGAGTGCATCTCGAGACCGGGCGGGGTCACTCGCTCGCTGCGCTTGCTTGGACAGTTAAAAACGAAAATATCCCCCAATTTGCTATGCAACACCACCCCAAATTGGTCATAGGATAAAAAAAATTAAATTTAATTAGAAATTTAGATTATGAGTGGGAATCATACGAAACGGCAACGTGAATCGTACATGTAAAGTATGCAGGGAGAAAGAATTGTTAATCAAATGTATGCGGTATTGAACTATGTAAAATGTGCGGTTGTGAACGGTAAGTATGCGGTTTTGATGACCGCTGGTTTGAATCATAGCGGATTGGGGAGGAATCATCTAGGTCGCCATGTTTTGTATACAACACGCCTTTAGGTTAATATCATTCTTATATTATTATTATTACTACATTTTTGGCTGTACATACAATGATATTGTAGAACAACAAATGGACTAGAAGAAATCGGGAATGAATAAACCGTAATTTCTCTATATAGCTGTATAATAAATGCTTTATACGCCATGCGTAAAACCATAACAGACACTTTATATGTATGTTTGGAGGGCGGGGGATTGGGTTATCGTTTTCTCGGAGAAAATTTCAAAGTTTATTTCGCACAATACCATCGTTACTTCCGATGGCCATATAGAATTTCCCAACATCCATTTCGTAGACATCATCCCGTGATACTAACTGGTGTAGAATTTTTAGTTCTAGTTTGAACAATATATTAATATTTAGTTAGTATTTACGGTCATTTTCATCTCATATGATAATCTAATAAAAATAACGTAATAAAGATATATTATAGGAAAACAGATACGGAATTCAATTTATATACGAGTAACTTGGTATAAATTAATTTTAAGAACTTTGTAATTCATTTATTATTATATTTCTTATTTAAAAGATTATCATTGATACTATATCATTTTTTTATTTAGAATTAATAATGTTAGTATTAAATGGAGGTTTATTTGATTCATTGATCATCGCTTTTAAAATAATCATGAGCTACATACCAGATTTAAATAATAATAATAATAATAATAATAAGAAATCATATTAAAAAATAAATTGAAGTCAATTTTTTTGGATCTTTTGTTTAATAAAACTTTTTAATAATGCACAGTTACAAAAAAATATGATTAATTGTGTCATTTAACACGCCCATAAGACCCAAAACATCAAAATTGTTTTGGATGCAATATTTTCGGTGAGATATTTAATATTACGAATCCCTGTGGTTTCAAGCGGAATTATGTAACACGTGCACTCTATTGTTGTGGGAACATTGTTAAAATAATCACGCAGAATCGAAAATTGTAGCAGCATTAGTAGTATTATAAAATGAAAATACATTGTACGAAACAAATATCACTACAAAATACAATTAAAATTACCTTTAACAAAAATATATAGAAAACTAATTACAACGTGTTAGGGGTGTATTGGCATTGGTTTTAAATTAAACGTTAGTGTTTATACTACAGTAGTTTTTCTATTTTAGACGACCATATTAAAAATTGTGGTAAATGATATAATATGTAACATTCAGAAATTGGTATAAACTCATTGTTCTGTGTTATAACTTTGAGAATAATATTTAATGTGTTTTCCATTACACGATTTTATTAATTGCTTTATAGGCCACACGGGATGAATTTGTTTCGGCGAAACTTCAGGTACCCGTCAATTCCAGATTACGAGAAACTTTTATTAGTAACATTTTCGCCGGAAGGGACATTGGGAAATTGAAATAATTTACTTTACAATATTGTAATTTAAGTGGTTTCAATGTTTAATACTAACTAATAATTGCGCATAATTTCTCATTCCTGAGGATTTTAGTTTTTACTTATATCGATTTAATACAAATTTCTTATTATATATGAGTAATAAATAGGTATAAACCAAAATAAAATGTAATAGAGAAAATACCATTAATAAATAGACTATTTGTCGAATAATAAACCAAAGTCTACAAAAATAAAAATATCCATTTATAAAATCAAAACGCAAAGAAATATAACAACATAATACTAATCAAGAGTCTAGATTTTTTTTTAAAAAAAAAGATAGTCTTATCTTGAAGTTTCAAGCCCAGATACCTACCGATAAAAGATAGCAACAGTATTGCAAGAAGCGTACGGCCTTAGTTGATATGGATACGATACATAAAAAAGAAATATGGGACCAATCTGAACTGCCTTTACTACGAAGTGAAATCGAAATTGATACCAAAAGAATGTGCAACCACAAAGCTGCTGATTTAGACGAAATTGTGAAATTATAAAAGCAACTGCAGAAAAGGGAGTTGATATAATCCATGAAATTTGCTGCTTGTTATGGACCACAAGCGATTGGCCAAAGGAATGGTATGAGTCCATATACATCCCAATCCACAAGAAGAGCGACAAGAAAAAATGCAACAACTATCGTACTACGGCCCTAATTCTCCACACAAGTAAGATCTGTGATATAAGAAAGGCTAAAATCATATCCACTTCCACAAATCTCCCAAGAACAAGAAGGATTTGTGCCGGGAAGAGAAATAAAGGACCAACTCTTAAACAGCCGACATATAATAGAAAAATGTTGTGAATACTATTTTCTGCTTCTTAGAATATACTAAGGCTTTTGACACCGTTAAATGGAATATTCTGTAGCTCATTTTAAAAGGAATGGAAGTTTCAGAACATCTAAAAGCAATAATAAAAATGTTTTAAGCCAATAATAAAGCGTATATCCGAGTGGAATCCGATATTTCCGAGAGTTTTCAAATAGAACAAGGCATAGGATAGAGCTGCATATTGCTACTATTACTCTTTAACATATATGGAGAATGGATTATGAGACAAGCTACGCAAGAATGGAATGGAGGAGGTCCCCATTAGTGGTAAAAAAAATTCCAATTGAAGATACGCTAATGATACGGATATGTTTATCCAAATATTTAAATTCTTTGGTCATGTTATAATAAGAGATAGTATTGAAAAGAATATTATTCAATTAAAAGTTGAAGGAAAGAGGAACAGAGGTAGGTCACTCATTCACTACATAAATCAGATTAAAGCCTTAACACAAATGTCAATGTTAGAAAGCATCCAAAACACAGAAAATAGGGAGTTCTGGAGAAATGTATCCAATCGAAATATTATACTGTATGAAAGCCACGACGTTCGAAATCTAACAACCATAAACAAGAAGAAGAAGTAGGTACATAATAAATCTATTTACATAATATACCAAATCTACTAGCAGCTGTTTCAGAATTACCAAAATAATCTTAAAATAGAAATGACATGTTTTAACCACAATAGTAAGTAGTATACAAATACAAAATATAGTGTCTAAAAAGAAGGAAATTCTAAATTTATAGCAGGAATTATTAGTCAGTTACAATCAAAATGGATATCAGCCTATCAGTTATTTAATTTAAATTTACATAGTTTGAAAATAATGTAATTTTAAGTAAACAACTAAAAATAAAAAAAATATTAGATAATTTGTTCAATTTTCAATCTGTATTTTTGTATTGAAAAATATATAATATATAATAAGTTTATAAAAAAAACAGTTCAGGGAAAGTATTTTCCGAAAATAATACAAAAGTTATTGTTATGAAATCATTAATTTTTTAAATTTCCTTCATTAATTACAATAAATACTATTATAATTATAATTTAAAATGTATTGTACATGTATTTATCTAGAAAAGTATGGGAGCAGTATTTTTTATAGCATATGGTATTATTAACTATGAAAAATTCTGAGCACGTTTTTAGGGATTTTAAAAAGGTGAGCTCAGTTAAAACTGATGCTCGAAAATGTTCAAATCAACTTTTAAAAATGTATAAATAAATAAGATTAGGCATCAATAAGTAGAAATAACACAATTGATATACCTTAAAATGTATCTTAGTCTTATTCAAAGTCTTCGAGACATCTTAGTCGTACGTTAATTGGTATATATAAACATATTAGATTTAATCATACAAAAAAAGTTCATTAACATTTAATTTTGTCTGATGTTCTGATATTTAGTACATTTAAAATTAATCGAATGACAGTATTAGGGGAGCTAGAAAGAAGTGGATGACTTTACATATATTGGATACCACGCCATATATCAGTAGTTTTTTATCGATGAGGTGCGACCCAATTTTCGGTCGTGTAAGCTTTAAGATTGGATAGCGATAGATCTTCATTTTAAAATTTAAAAAATTCATATTCATATATATATTATAATTATATAATATTATATTATGTCTGTTATATGACATTAGATAAAATAATTTTCGAGTAAACCCAAAACCATACTATATTATATTTGTAAAAGATAAGAATGAACATAAAATGAAGACATTCTTAATGGTATAGCGATAGCTCGACTGAATCGTACAACTTATTTACCTGTCATTTATCTATAAAATGTAAAGTGTAAAATTGAGCCAAGATGGAGTATATTGTGTGGAAACGGTCAGGATCAAATATCGTACTAATTTTTAATTTTTTTTTATATCATTATTTATAGTATAAATTAAATATTACCTAGATACTTAGATACTTATTTGCTTTTATCTATTCAGTTTTAAAACCACTTCTACAATGGCATACATTACGCAACTTCATTTTTTTTTTCATGGGTAATGAAATTGATATGGGTCGCGAAAAATATATGGTAGAAAAGTGGACCACGAGTCAAAAAGGTTAAAGTCCATTGCCGTACATATTACATGTTTTTCACTAAATTTTCAACCTAAATTAATTTTTACTTTAGCAAGAATAAAAAGGTATTGAAATAGCAAATTAATGCATTTAATTCTCTTACAATTTTAATTTTCTAATAAACCAATAAATAGGTATTCATTTTTACCTTCCACTAAAATAATTATTAATTTAGAAAATCACATACTGAAAAAAAATTAATGCGATTTTTGCATACACCATAAAGGATTAAATATCATTAAAATGAATACGTTAAATTGAAATTGAAAAAAATTATTATTGGTTGGCTTATATTTGTCTATAAATTTAGTGACATTGAGGTTTTAATTATATAGTTATAAATAAATAATGAAAAATGTTTCAATTAAGTAAGCACTTATAAATGCACTCTACCAACCATATCATTTAGTTTTATTAAAAGTATACATTTTTAATTACGTTATAATAAGTATAGTTTTATACACATAAAAGTAGCGTAGAAAACATACACAATCATATAAAGTGACATATAGAAACGGATTTTCATAGCAAAATTTAATGATGATTCAATTACTTTATTATATATATATTCATATATTTTCATAAAGTAAACCAATCGTAAGAGTTGATGAAAAATATATGAAGGGAGAAAAAAGTGATTATATATTTGTTCATAAATTTAATTGTGAAATAAAAAAATAATATATTACGCTACTATAGTTGTATGGTAAATGTTTTTAGGGAAATTTTTAAATTTATTGAAAAATGTGAGACACCGATGGGAGCAGGCTTGGGTAGGTTTGGGTTGCAGTATTTGACGGGGGGCAATTTCATCTACAAAAGTAATAAAAAAAAGGAGAAAAAGTGAAAAATTAGCCGCTGAAAAATAAAAATACGAAACTTTTTCAATCATAAAATGATTGAACGCATTGGAATCTTGCGGTGTAAACTTTTGCGTAAATATGAAGATTAATGGTTCAGGGATTTCTTCGTTTTCTCTTCGTCGTTTTTTTTTTTTTTTATTTGTTATTCTCGCGCTCGTATATATATAAAATAAATGCATAGTATAAATAATATAAATGATCCAGTGGGTGGTAACCGCGAATAACCGGAAAATGTGATGCGTTTGAGGAGGTGCCACGTTCCGCAGCTGGTTCATTGTAGGACGACAATTTTCCGCCGCGTCATTGAGTCTTTCTCGACCATTAGTGCCTTATCCTAGCGTTGACGGTAACGCGATGTGACGACATGATGCTTGGGAGATGTGGACGCAATACGATAGAAGCAGTAACGTGGAACGAGAAAGAGGGGCAGTGAAAAAAAATAAGACACTGGTACTTACGCACTAACGTGCTGTACGTCAACAGCTGTGAGTGGAAGTTGTCTGGCCGACAAGCGTCGTCTGAGTTTTCCATAGGATTTTCTGTAAAAAAAAAAAAAAAAGTAAAATATATATTTATACATATATATACATACATATATACATAAATAAAAATTCTAATAAATAAAACAAATTTACATTAAGGTACAGCAAGAATTACAAAAAAATACGAGTAAAAGAGAATTAAATGGATATTAAAATTATAAACTCTGTGCAAAACGAATTAGCATTGCAGAGTAGAATAACGATTTTTTTTTTCAACCGTCAAAGTTTACTGATCGATTAAAATCTGAATGGTTTTAAATAACAGGACTTTGTTCGGATTGTTTTATTGTAAGTCGCGTTCGGAATAAATTTTGATGATTGTAGTTTAAAACAGAACAGTCGAGCCTTTAAACTTATATACACATATAATATTGGATGGTAATTTTAGTATTCAATAAGTTTCACATTAATTGAATATGATGTCAAGTAGATTGTTATTATATTTATAATTATATTCACATTAAAATCATTTTTTAACATTTTAAATTTTTTATTGTTTAAATATAATATAATTTTAAACTTTAATATTATAATGAATACAGGTGAAGAATGATAACCATTTCATTGAAGGAGGTCCTCGGTATAATTATGTTTTCGAACTGCATTCATATAATTATTAGTTTGTTTAGATTAAACAAATAATAAATGTAATTTGGTTGTTCTTTTGTTTTTAGATGATACTTAAAGATTATATTTTTATTTAAAAAAATATATTAGGTTGATATATTATATTATTTTTTAAGGATTTGTCCCTAAAGAATAAAGCATATTAGATCTCAATAGAATTTCGCTTACGGATATAATTTTTTAAACCTTTGATCCTCATGATAGTCACATGGTTAAGACTAATACAGGATCAATAAAAAAGACATTTATACATTGTTTTTATTGCTATATGCAAATAATATCATTGCTATTTATTCATCATTTTTTATTGTGTTATCTTAGAAATGAATTTAGAATAATGGGTAAAAAATGTAAATAAGAAGAAACATTAGTCAATTTATTTTCAACTGTAACCCCTCGCTATTAAAAAACATTATTTTATCAGTAGAGTATAAATTGAGAACACAACATATATGAGAGATTTTGCGTAAATTATTCTGTCTAAAAGGATAATTGATAATAAGAGAGCACAAAAAGTAATAAAACATTTAATTACATTTTAAAGAGAAATGAATAAAAACATTTAGAATGTGGGGCCAATTGTAAAAATGAAAAATACATTGTATATTTATAAATAATGTTTTCAATGTTTTCTTTATGATTAAATAATTTTATGAATAGAAATTATATTATATTTCCATACTTCAGAATTCAGTTGTTTATTATTTTAAAAAAATGTGATTAATTTATAATAGAAATTGTTTGCTTTAAAAATAATAATCATGGCGACATGACATTTTCAATGAATGCTTATACTATTGTTTTATAAAGATATATATATATATATATATATAATTTTTAAAAGTTTTTTTAGTTATTTACAGAAAGTTGAAAATTTCATGTTTTCTTAGCTTTTTTTTTTTAAATGTCGATAAAATAATTTTAGTTTCAAAAAAATGCTTAAAAATTTAATACAAAGTTCTTCAATTACTGGTTAAAGAAAATAATTTAAGCTTAATTAAAGAAAAAAAAATTAAAAATTAAGAGCGTTTGATTATTAAATGTTGACAAAGCGATAAAAAGTACGAAAATCCTTTACATTTTTGGATTAAGAAATTCTTAAAAATGTTTATTCTTATACTTAGTGCATGAAAATTGGATACAAGATTTTTCATACGATTTTATGTGTTGTCAAAAAAAAAAAAAAAAATTAATTGAACTTCGTAAAAATAATTTAAAGTGTTACGAAATGAATTTCTGACAAAATCTAGTATTTTAACGAATTTCCACTAAACAATATAAGTTATTAAGTTTAACACTTTTCAATTTTTTGAATTATTTTAATGAAATTTATGCTATTTATAAGCTTTCGAAATGATTGTTTTTCCCGATTTTTAATGTCTTTTTTTGGTGAAAGTTAAAATAATAAAAGTTCAAGCTATTTAGTTTTAAAATTTGATTTTTTTACTACATTGACTATTTATAGAAATATATATTGATCCAATCAATATCTGAAACCTAAAATACATTTTTTGATGGCTGTTTTTACGCACGGGTTTTAAGTTTGAAAGATAAATATCATTCACCAATTCTACTTGCATTTTATTTGACCTAGATATCCCACCTTTTTTTAATTTTAGTTTACAAAAGTATTCTGCTAAGTAACAAGATATTTAACTATTAACAATATAGTTTTGGTAATTTAATAAGATTAAATAAAAATGAGTATTAATATAAATAAATTAAGAAATTTCAACTATTTTCTTATACTGAAGTTAATTGTATGATACATGACAACTGCTGCCGTTGATAACCTCGCTATTGTTATTGATAAACATTAAATATCTCATTGAAAATGTAACTACGTTTATAGCAGCGTGATTCGCATACACGGCAAAAATATTCAGAACAAAATGCATCAGATATTCGTGTACAATATATGGACAATCCGATCGTTTACATTCGATGCCAAAACTAAACATTTTTTAACCGTATCATCGCTATGGTATAAACACTTAGTGTTGTTCATCGTTCAAACATCTTTAGAATTTATATAATATTATAATTATGAAATTATAACGTTTGTTCGAAATGATAATACCTACGGTTTACCACGTGTTCAGTAGTAACTCTGATAATAGTTATATCCAATCTCGAATCGTTTAGTTTGGACGATAGAAATCTTCAACTACTCGTACCACCCAAGTGGTCAATAATAAGTTGATATTGTTTTTAGGTTTTTTCACCTTACCGAATAAAAGCTTTTATTCTTGAACGAATAATGTAAAATTAACTGCTTTAACGTTACATTAATATAATAATAGACGTTTAGCTTCAATGCTACGGATACATCATATATATCGTCCACGCGTACACAACAAAAAGAACCTACGCACAGGGGAAATTACGATAGATCTATTCCGGATGGCGTAAGACGAATGGCCACGGTAGATAATAGAACTATCACGGTAACTTTGGTTTGGCGGAAATGCTTCTATAAACAAAGGAGCTTTATTACAGAGAGGTGTTCGGAAAGACATGATAAAGCTGCGTTCGAGTAGATACAATTTAAATTCGCGTAACGACTAAGACTAAGAGCAATATTATATAATCTACCACAACATTATTTGTACTAGAAACGTCAAGTGGAAAAAGACAGAGTCAAAAGGTCAGTTGGCAAAAATAAGAAAAATAAACAAATGAAAATTATAATATATTATTATATACGAAGAATAAAAATAGGGGAATAATCCCTCCGTTGTCATGGTCCGACTAACGGCCAAGTGTGTACAGTCGTTAACGCCCAAATGTGAGGGATACAAATTTGAAAACATGCACGATTCAGCCCTTTCCGTAGTACCATATCGAAATATATTTATGCCCCCTCTGTGAAATCGCTTAGAAAACGTTATGTCAGACACTCTACATATGAATATATATGAACCATCTCACTATTTCCGCTTCGGAGGCGGTTACTTGGCAGTGGCGCAATATTATTCTGTTTGGTCCTCTCTTAACAGAAATGACGCGTAACAATAGAAATTTGAAGACTCATATTAAATACAATCCCCCCCCTCAACATATCAACAAAGTATACATTTTCTGCGACATATTAAAAATAACAAAAAACTTTAATATTATACTATCGTGATAAAATGTTGACATCAAACGCAATAAAGCGTATTTTATTATTTGATTAATCGTGCATTACGTATAACTTGTGAATTGATTTTTTTAGAATAACATTTAATTAAAATTTTAACTGCATAGATTTTTAAATAAAAATAAAATAATTAACAGAAATAAGCACAAAATAAAATTTTTTTTCTTCAAATGCCAATTTTATTGATTAACATTTGTTCAAAAAATATATAAAAATTTTTTAGTAAATACACCAAGGCAGAATTTCTAGTAAATTACTTAAGAGGAAATTCAAAGTGTTTTGATATTTATTATCAAAGTCAAAAGTTAGAAAATTTAAATTCAATACTACATAAATTAATAATATAATTTAATTCAAGTTTAATTCACAAAACACGTTGATTGTTCAGAAGGAAGTGATAATAATTATATATACTAAAATTATATTAACTTAAAGCCTAATCATATATGTCGTCAATACTTTAAACTTGTAGATTTATGAATTGTATAGCTTCAAACAACATATTTTTCACGAGAGTCATCTCTCTTAGGGGAAAATAAGTTTGTATTTCGTCTCTTACGATATCAACGCCTAAGTGAAAAGTTCACAAAATGTACACTATTTATTTCAAAGAATGGTAAACTTTCGTTTCGCTAGTGTTAAGTTAGCATTACGATTTTATTGTGTCAAGTTTACAGCCAAAATTTGACGTAAAACATTTTAATTTCGAATGTGAGTTTGTCAGCCTATTTTGTCATAATATTGGTCTGACACCTGTCGGTTCTCATTAAAACTACTTTCACGCTTGTTTTGAAAAGTTTTCTGCAAAGTTTTTAGCATGCATTTATGTTAGAATGTGAGTTCTATATGACATTTTAGTTTCATACGTACCACTCTCTTGGACCTCAACAACTTGGTTGTCACGACGATAAAACCTCATGCATGCATATCCGCTTTGGCTGCAAAATATAATTTAACATTAAATACACTGTATTAATAAATAATTTAATAACTTAATAAGGTGTCAAAAAGTACTGTGGTGAAAATGTAATAATTATGGATACATAAAAAAAGTTGATAATTTTTAATTAAAGTTTCATTGTTGTTAATAGCTATTGAAGCTTGTTTGTCAGCTATTTCATTGCCTTTTATTCACGAGTATTCAGGTATCCTTCACATGATAATAATATGTTTACTAAAATCAGAAGCTTTGTTAAGATTGTTCTGCATTTTAGATGCAATATCTAATAATAATATAATAATTGGTTTTGTAGATTTTTTACCGTACTCAGTGAATCACTAAGGATGATGAATTTATTTATATTATTTTATCTGTTTGAAAAATATGAAATTAGTTTTAAAAAGTACCAAAATAAACATCAAACATTTTAATATGGTACTGTAATCAATTGTATAGCTGATAAAAAAATTAATTGATTTTCAAAATATAATTGAAATAATTTCTACGAAATTTTTTTTTTTTTTGAAAAAAGAATTTGAAAAGTCCATCATTAGTTATATTTTAACTACATCCCTTCTTTTATTATTTTACTTGATCAAATGGTAACGTCATTAGTCGTTAAATTTTATTCAATAACAATTTTAATTTAATTTAGACCGAGATCGAATAAAATATAACTATGGATAGTTTATATATGAAAATAATTATATTCTATATTAAAATAAATGTAATTTGTAGGTATATAGTGTAGAAACAATTACGATTAAGATTATGCACGAGCTTATAATTAATTGGACGCTTAAACATAGTGTCTATAACTAGATTACGTGATGCACTACTGTAAATCAAAACTGTCTGGCGGCACACAGTCGGATCAGGATGTTTATAGATATCTGTGTATATATTTCATGATCGTTAATTCTATTGACGGGAGCCATTATAATATAACGAACATTCCTGCATTTGAGAAATTTAAACTTTACAGGACCGCAATATTACACTTGCTTTTTTATTGCGTCGTCACTCATCAGTCGTTTCCTTTTAATCATACTCTATCTCTCTTGAGTGGAATTTTACTCCTGTCGATTTCCAAAGAAATAATAATAATAAAAAAGGAATAAAAACGTTCATTTAAATTTTTGAGTTTTGAATACCCGTTTCTTTCTCATAGTTCTGTTCATTCTTATTATTTTTTACAATCATAATTGTATAAGAAAAAGAGAAAGAAATATAAAGATGAGGTTGATTACTTATACGATCCACGTTGACATGGATGAATGTATAGTTGAGTGTTTCCCGTAAGAATGTGTACACACACGCGCTTATAATACATGCGTGCACAATATACGAGTACACATGTCCATTTTGGGTATTGAACCGTTGAAAAATGGGGGAAAAAAATATGAAACCAACTCCGAATACTCTTATAGTATAAAATTTAACTCAAAAGGAAAATATGTTGTAGAACATTTTTTTGTAGAAGATGATACTTACAAATAAATAAATAAATAAATTTATACATATGTCGTCACACATGATTAAAAGGAGAAAAACGTATAAAATCGAATACGTATTGCATAACACTCTTACTATGGTGTACTTACCACCCTATAGTGTAGTGCGTGACAATTGTTGCCTTGTTGTCGGTGTTATTGAGTACCCTGTAACACGCAGCGCGGATATCGTGATCGGGTCCGGCCCCCGGGATGCTCTTCCGCAATGTGCCGTTCCTCGGCGAGAAATGGTAAACGTGACCGTGGTTCAACGAGTGCCAGGTGTGGTGTTCGGTCAACCATGACGGATATCGACAACCGTTACCAACGCCGTGATGATGGTGGTTCTCCACTGAAAATAGAAAAATAAAACGACATCATTAGTGAAACTCGATTCCAATAAATCGTTTGTGAAAAGATTCTAGGGGAAACAAAACAGAACCTTACAAGATTTTAAACTAGTTCAAAAAGCAAAAAATACAAATATTATATATTACCAATAACAGTGTCTCAATGAAGACATTCTATACATTATTGGTGTTATAACGAAGTAACGTGTTTTACTTTACAGCATTAAATTTAGTTTTCATCTACTTATGGGTACAAAATGGATAAGTTGGTATTTTATGAGAATTATTTAAAACGAATTAAATCGGTGTATTTAGTTTTCATCGCATTAAATAAAAATAAAATATACATATTAATACAAAATATAAACAATATTATCTGTAGGAAATGATAAAAGCATTCATGGACTTTCATAAAGAAAGTGGTAATAGTTTTTATTCTATCTACTGTTAATTGCTGATATATTTATGTAGTCGTACAAGAACTAGTATCAACATATAATATGTGTAGAAAAAAAAAAGTAAACCTAACGTACAAGATCATTAAAAAAATGTTTACCAAAGATAAGAATATAAATAAATGTAAAAATAAACTTAATCAGCAAATGTGTTTACTGTTATGAGTCTAATGAAGCCATAACAACAAAATTAATGTATACTATAATCAGCACACATATATTTATAACTTCCTTTTTCCATGATTTAGAAGTGTGTATTGTATACCACTTATAATCGATTAATAATATTGATGCACATAAAATAAATTACGATTTTTAGTTACGTTGAAATGGTTTACCAGTTTAAAAAGAAACAAAATATAAAATATATATATATTTTAAAGTTGTAGCTTCTGAAAATTAAATTGGAAAAAAATTATCTTTAATTAAACTGTATTGATCATAATCTTCCTATTCGTAGAACCAAACAATTTATGTAAAGGTTAATATAATGAAAAACGTTATTGATGTAATTAGAATATTTTTTTACGAAAAAAAACTTAACGTTTAAGAAACAAAAACATAAAAAATCAATAGATTTTTATTAAAAGATATTACAATTTGCACGCATGCACTCACGCATACATGTCATAGAGCAACATCAAGTTCGACTGGAGTAAATATATTACAACGTTTGTATGATAAATTTTTCAATGGATATCCGATGTTATTATTAGTAGAGGGGTTGTTTAGTCCAAATGCACCATTTTTGATGACGAACAGTGGCAGCGGAGTGCAAAACAAATACAATGGTGTGGTTTTTTTTTTTTTTTTTGATAACGAAAGAAAAAAACTAAAACCGAGCCAGCTCTGTTGATCGGAAATTAGTGCTCGATTACACGCAGCTCGCTGACGCGTTAGAGAGCCTTCGAAAGAAAAACAAATTTTTCCACAATCTCCATGCATAAATAATACATATCATCAATATGGCCAGAAAGGATATGGTCTGGCACAGGGTTGGCAAACAATAACATTCCTCATAGTAGCGTTATCCATTGACGACTGTAAGAGAAAGGGTTGCACGGATCGCTAGAAAATGGAGGATTTTTCTTTCTCTTCTACACACTATCATCATCATCATCATCATCTTTGTAGTCCTGTATTTGGACGAGCAGGAATGAAAAGATCATTAGTTCGGAAACGTTTCCGGGTGCACGTCGTCCGCAATAATTGCGGCCCATTTGTTGTTTGTCTCGGCGGATACGGAAAAGGGAACGGGGCGCGTTGTGGGTTTTTACAAAAACAAAGCAAAAATAAAAATAAAAAGGGTTATTAAAAAGTTTTAAAGGCTCGGCAATTTGTCGTGCCCGCCGTTGAATGTCTATCGGTTGGTTGGGTATCGTGAGAAGGGGAATAGAGATGCCCGTTATTACGGCGTGTTATACGCGACCACCGTTCCTCAGCGTCATTCCTCCACCTAGTTGGCTCTAGAAAAATTGTAGTAATGTTTTTTTTCTGTGAAGAACTACTCCGAACACGATTAACCACATATACTTACACTGCACCTTCAACACAAACGTTTTGAACGCACGCGATAAAGAAGTCGAACCACGTCAATACACGCCACGTAATAAACGAAACAAATGATTCACCGTCTATGTCGACGTATTTTTTTTTCCTGTTACTTCTTTTTAACATTTTCGGAGTGCCAATATAGTAGTTACGTGTCGAGTTTGCAAAATCGCCCCCTCTCCTTTACATTATCCTTGATGCAAGTCAATCTTACGAATGCGTACGTACGTACAAGGATTTATATGCAGGTGGCTGTTACGATGCTTTATTTTTGAAATAAGTCATTTTTCTTCAAGTTCAATTGATTTTCAAAAGTATTTTTTTTCGTAACCGTACGATGAATTCCATGTCAGTTATGCACGGTATACTAATAATAGTAATAAACCATAGCCTGACGGGAATCGATTAATATAGATACCAACTGTTCGTATAAGATACAAAAGTATTATAAACCCATTTAGCTCAGTGGTAAGGGATATATAAATGTAGATACATCCGTAAGATGGTGGTAAATTTAATAAGAAAAATCAATCTCCGTCATAAAACTTCATTTTTTTTTAACAATAAATATATATTATTAACTTTCATTTTGTTTTAAAAAACCTGATAGATTGACGTATTGTAGTATGCAAGTTTATATAATTTTATACATGAAATATCATATTTCTTAAATTATGTTACAAAAATCGATTATTGGAGCGAACAAAATTGGTCCATTAAATAATTGATAAGTTTAGAATAAAAACCTATGTTATATGAATTACGAGATGCGAATATTGACATGAAAGATCGGCTAGAAAATAGGTTGTCTTCTCGGAGATTAAGTAAAAATGTGTAGTAATCCTACCGGTAGTTACAGTAATTATTCACTTATTTGAAAGGCGAAAAAAAGAAAGTAAATGTATATTTCTCAGAACATTTGAATTGAATTAATAGATGAATGAAAATTGTATTATATAAGTTAGTTATATAGTTAGTTATTATTAGTTATTAGTTATATTTGAGTTTCACATATTCAACACATGCTATCTTAATGCTATGTCTCTAAGGTATTTTCCATACTGTTTATTTGCGTTGTTCGAATTTAAAAACTTTTAAAGTACAAACGCTAATCCTTAAGTGACCTCTTTGGTAAGTAAAACTAACAAATAATTTTTGAGCTCATCAACGTTGATAGACGCTTGTGATCTTTAATGAGACTCTTTCCCTTGTAGGCCAACGAACACATTGCGCACACAAACCGGCAATAATCATTATCCGGCAGCTACGGTAATTATTATTATGGTCAGAAATAGCATTAGGTTCGATTACCGGACGGTTTCTGCTAATGGCGGTGTGCACCCAAAATAATGGTTGTATTGTAACTGCTGGTGCGTGTTCGCTAATACCAAATACGTTTGTAATGGAAAATTCGGCATTTTCAAAATTACAGAAAAGCAGAACAATACAACGTATTCAGTAAATATAACGAAGGAGAAACATTTTTCTTTTTTTCATATAGTATTGTCATTGCGCTTATTTCAAAGTGTTTTAAAAATAACTGTTAATCTAACCATCATCTCGCATAATTTAATATGTAATAGGAATAATAATTAAAGGTTTTCATGTTTTAATCTGAAGGATAATTGCCTATAGTAATTAAGTTAATGATCTTCAAGTTGACATGTACGATAATCAATGTTTAATTAAAATGTAGTATACGATAAGTATTAAAACTTAATATTTATACATTAATAACAAATAAGAACTAATTACAAACGCATTTATTTAGATAGAAGAGGTATAAAATATTTAATTAATATTGATCTTTTGTTAGAGTTGGATGGTTGTATATTACATCCTTAGATTGAGTAAAAGAAAATTGTACGGGCGAAATATTTCCTCGATGACGTGAGAACATTTGTGTTTGATTACGTAAACATAAATTTACCGGACCTAATTTCTCAGTTAAACAGTCGTGAACATAGTAATAGTAAATGACCGCGGTTGTGGTGTAGGTTGTAATGAATTTCATCTACATTTTTAAATAATAATCAATATTTGATTATATATATAAAAATTAAATACAAAACAATCGAACATTTAAACTTCAAGTAGTTTGATTCAAGATTCGAGTATATGATAGTACACATATTACACTATATGTAGTTATTTGAAAACAGTGGTTTCCTACACAAACTATATAAAAACTGTATATTTTGATTTTTGATTGAATTCAACGTATATTCGAGGATATTATAACAATACAGCTTCTAATGTAGGTACATTATATTATTTTTACCCGGGTGAAACCAATGAAAATTGATTTTTAATAAACTCAATTATTGAAATTGTGTTAAAGGAAAACCTTAGAAAAACGTATCTGTAGTATCGTTAGTAAAATTATAAACATAAGGAGACAGTGGGGTGGGGTGGTACAGTCAAACTGTTTTCTTTTCTCCTCTCAAGTTGCACTCGAAGGGTCACATGGTGTATTGAGGGTTGACTTTTGAGTTTCACGCTCTTGACAAAAGAAAAAAAATATATCGAAAAAATTACTATATTGTGTGCTCGAAAAACTTTTGCACCGATTCGGGAAACGTATTCTACCCCGATAACCACTACCACAACTACTTCCACTCACCGTCATCACACACGGGCCATCGATGTCGGTTCGGTGTGCTGTCGGTTCGCCTATAAACTTTTTCCTCGCAAATACCCAAACCTAATAAAAGATTTACGATGCCTGTTAAGTTTCGGCGGTCGTCGAGAGGGCGGAGCATGTCGCTCGGAAACAATTAACTTTCCGTCCGATTGAGCAGCCAAATTACTACTTGCGGCAGGTTTAACTGTTGGTTCGTTTTCCCTTTTACGCTATACACACCCCATCGTCACCCCTTTCCCATATTATCCTTATCAACACCGCCACGCCATCGAGTCTGTCGTCACTGAGCAGACAATGAGCTTAACTTGGCCGGAAGAAACACGCACGGACACACCACCGAGTTTTTTTGGGG